ATTTCCTGTTTCATTAAGCAATTATTGAGAACTTTTATTCTTAAACTTGGATTATTTTTACTCATTTTTAACGGAAGCAATATTGCACGGACAAGGAATATTGATGAGAGCCAAGGCTGCGGAAGTATCGACTAGCGGAGGTGAATCGCGGCTTCCGCAATCGTGCACTGTCTGGGATATCGCGGGGACTGCGCCGAGGACGGCCGGTTGTACGGAAACGAGGTTCGAAAATGTGACATAGCCTGGAAAAATCACTTCCGGATTGGGAGCACCATTCATGCGAGCTGTTCGAGGACGGTAAATCGTTTCTGGCTCGACAGCGGTCGTTCCCTTTTCAATCTTGTTTAACGAACACTCTATTCCCTGTACGTCGACCCGTTGAAAGGGTACGCGACAAGTAGCCATCCAAAAATCAAACTTAAATTACCGCATTGCCTAAACGCTCTCTATTAATTTTAACAAAAACGTCTATAAAAAAATTGTATAAAACTCTGACTTGTTAAAGGTTGCAAAATAAATTGATGACCAAATTCCTCGAAGTTCCATTCGATGTGAATATAAAAAAATAGTAAGTTTTAGAGTAGTAGACCGGCGTTTTTGGATTCGGTTCGCGTCGAGTCGACTTGAATGGCCGTCTGGATAAACTTCCGCGTATACGAGAAGAACCAATCGATCCCGGGAGGATGGCCGGGAGGAGACGAGGGAAGATCGCGTCGCGTCGCTCCCGGAGGCGTCGGAAACAACGACGAATTTGAAGTGACGTCGCCGTAGCCGGTTCCTATTACGGATCGTTCAACAGCAATACGAGAGGCATGCAATCAAGTGTCACACACGCGTATATACAATGCGTATGCAGACGAGTGGTTACTGCGAATGTAAACGTGCGTGGCTGAGAGCAACGCGCGGCGCGCCGCGTCGTAATTAAACGTGCGCGCCCGCTGGGTACATACTTAGGTACTGTAGATACATATGTAATAGCAAGATACACTGGACCGTGCCAAAATGCAGAACACACAGTTATATCCACACACAGCGATGCTGAACCAATGTGCACATTATATGTATTTTATGAGAATCGAGCTTAAAATATTTAATAAAAATTGGTTAATTTAGTTAATTATCCTGTACCGATGAAATTGACAGTAAAATGCGAAGTAAATTCAACAAATCATTTTCATTCTGTAATTGAACATTTAACAATGTACAATTTTATTTCAACTCCGCGTCGGAGTTATAAGAGTATAAAAAAAAAACTTGATTTAATTAATTCAGTGGATGAAATGTACAATACGTTGAATTAAAAAGCTGTTATTAATAAAGCTGATTCGTTTCGTTCGGCAATGCTTGTTAATGAGCAAAAGTGTTTATTTCATTGGTTCTGTTATATTTCTCGCTGCACGGGAACAAATAAAGAAATTTAATTCAGATACAGCAAAACGTAATATCGGACGGACAAAAAGAGAACGGAGAAAGAGAGAGATAGAGATAGAGAAAGAGAGAGAGAGAGAGAGAGTGTGTGTGAAAGAGAAGACAATCAAGAGACAATTCTCGCGCAAGCACTTCAATTTGCAATACTCCCTTCCTCGTTTATTCGGTCACGGCGTGTTTTTTTCCCCCTTGAATGAAAGAAACGTAGACGCGTAGATCGGTTTTCGGCTCCATGGAGACCGTGCCCCGATCACGCTAATCGAATCCCACGAATGGAACACGCTCTCTCGGAAATTATCCGCGGGTATACGATTCTGATGTTCCGGATACACTTCTATGTATTCTCGTTCGACTTCCCCCGCCGGGATTTAATTACCGTGAACCAGGCACAGCTCCGCGATTAATCAATGGCTTCTCTCCGCGAATACCTTTCGCACATTATCGAAATATATGCTTATTCGAATTATTTGCAATTATTCATCTTGTCAATTCGACTTGATTTTCGCCCGGACATAAATATTTATTGAAACCATACAACGACCGATGCATGGCGCAATGTTTTCGACTCGAACTCGATTGGAAGAGAAACCATCGTCGCGGGCTCGTCGTGAGGGACAGGACTTACACCATTTAACCGTGGTATCTCGATGCTCGGTATGTAGGTGGTCTCCTCGTGTCCGGTGGAACAGTACCGGGTTCTCCTCCTGGTGGTGCGCGGACTGCAACGGCCGCAGGGCACCGCGGCGTCGGAATTGCGCGCCTTCGCGGCTGGCCTCTGCCGCGACCCGCATCGCATGGCGAACCGCAATTCCGAAGCCATCTCGGCGCACAGTGACTGCCGTCCCGTTTTTTTTTTTAGGCACAATTCGGTTTTTTTGCGTCGACGTTGCGTGTGGACGGGGACCAGCACAGAACAGGCACAACAAATACCAACAAAATGATACAGAAGTACGATCGCACCAACAGTTATTTACCATGCAACTCCTCGCGCGTGCCAGACCGTTTCGTATTAACCCTTAACATATTAAATAAGTCGGACCACTTCTTTTGATTAAGTAGACATTTTCTTTAAATTCTGTTGGAAATCTCATACAATTCTGCAGTTTATTGCAACAGTTAAGGGTCAATTAGGGACTTAATTTATTTACATGATGCAACGTTCAATTCAAGGCCTTCAATCTATTTCATATCCACGTATATAATAGAGTAGAATTTTAACTTGATCTAATAATTGACGAAAGTGAATTTTCATATGAAACTGATAAAATCAGATGACATTGAGGTATTAACATATTAGGTCATCATTGGCGTTTGGAAATAGGATTTAATTATTTTAGAAACGCAGATGGCAGCGTTAAATCCTGTTAGGAATTATTCATACGGCAGGAAAATGAAATATTTAGACTCGCAAATGTACCGAATGGATTGATACGAAAGCCGTTTTGGTCGGTGTTTAATCCACCTTGTGTAGAGAGAGAGTGGCGCGGCACACCGTGTTAAATCAAATCAGTAGAATGGGAACATGCATGGTCAGACCTGGAGGCCGGCTGCGCCGCCGCCGCCGCCGCGTGCAATCAAGTTAATGGAGCCTGACCTTTTTCAGTCAAGTAGAATGCGGACGTACTTAACCAGGCGAGCTTGTACGCGTTCGCCAACTTTTCCTTCGCATTATGCAAATCGCTTAATGAAGAAAAAAAAAAAAGGAAAGGATTCATCCTTTGCACTCTGTTGCTGCAGACTCGGTTTCACGTTACGCGTTCCGCTTACGAAACGGAAATTTGAAACAACCGATCGGATTTATCATTGTACAGACGCGTAGCGACGAGGATAGTCCCAGAATGCAAAGGGTTTGGACGGTTCAACGTCAGAGCCATGCAGAGTTCCAAGATTAAAGAGACGGGAATGACGAAGAAGGCGTCGCGTCAGATGAAAAAAGCGAACGGGAACGGTCTCGCACACGAGGAGCTCGGGACATACACTCATGCAGCACGTATACACACGCCAAGCACGAGAAATCGCGCGCAATTATCCCGGTCGCTTACCCGGTCCGATTGGGCGTTCTTCTTGGAGTTCCAGCAGAACTCGAGGACCGCGACGAGGATCGCTAACGCGAGGCCGCAGACCAGCACGACAAAGACACCTCCTGGAACGGGAAAAACCGGAAGCTCATTATTTTACCGCCGCCGGGGCTGTCCCTGCTCCGCGCTTCTTTTCTGGGTGTCGCGACCCCTCGCGCGCTTCACGGTTAATGTAACTGCCACCGAGCGGATTCGCTCGTTCCCGGGATATCTTTCCGTCCACATCCATCAACCCACCCCCGTTTTCCCAACCCCCTCTATTTATCTATTTATCTATCCATCTGTCCGGCTTCACTATACCAGCCTGTCATTATTTACGCCCACTTTGTTAATCCTCCCTCCCAGCTTCTGCTCGTCCTTGGCGCCTGCCAAGCATTACAAGGCTGGTCGAGAGAAAATCTTCTGCCTCGTCTAGCCCGACAAATTTTCCACCTCCGGTGACAGGAACGTGTCCCTGCGTCATCGATAGTCTGTGATTTTTTTTTTACCAGAACAATTTGTTCCACGTCGCAATTGTGTACCACGTGATTTGATCCCAGCATGCATTTTATCCGATACGAAGTTGTAACATCAGAGAGTACTAACAGGGTTCTATCAGGATTTATACCCGGCGCCGATCATACCGTACAGTTTGCTCGCTCGCGTTCCGGATATTGGACCCAGAGAACTTTCTGCCTTGTGAAACTTTCGCACCTCGACGTACTCCGTACGGATTACCTCGACTGTGAAACATCTGTTCGTGAATTTTTCTATTACACCAGGGCAATCGAATCATACACACTGCGAAATAAATTTATTAACACCTTTCGTCCCTTTTCCCCTCCCGGTTCATCGTATGTGTTCTATGAATGTCACAATTTGTCGAGGTTTACCACTACTTCGCGCTTTTCCATAAGCAAGTTCGTGTTTTCAACTTTGCCTGCTATTGGAAGTTATAGTCAGCGAATATCCTTTCAGCTCCAACTTTCTATTTAAGCACCTCGCAGTTCCTCGAGGAGATTATATTTTAAAAGTGGAAATGAACACGGGCTAATAAAAATGATGAATAATTCGCGCGACGGCGCCTCATCAATAAGATCCAGCAAAGAACGGAAAGAAGGTTCTCAGCGCAGCTCGATTTGCATAACCGCGTCTGTCATTATGATCTAAGCTTCCGTTTCACCGGAAGGAGGCAAAGTTTCTCGCGTGGACGGCTTCTATTTCCTCGCCCACTATTCATGGTGCTTGTCACGATTAATCTTGCGGCAAGACACTGTGGCGCGTGACCATTACGCTACTGTTTCAACTCGTCAAGTCAGATCGTTTCATATACAATTCACTATAGTCTGGATTAGCACCTAAATGAAGGTTAATATAGAACTTTCGAAGACCAGAAGTCCGTAGTAATTTCTGTTCCTGTTTTCTCGATTCCCGCAAATAATCGACGCGTCTAGTGGAAAGACGATTTGCAGGTCGGACTGAAATTTCAGTAGAGTGATTCGTACTTCTTCCTTTTCCGGGGAGTGGGTCTGCGGTGCTAGCAAAGTGGGTACTTACCCAAGTTACAGGCTAGCCGGTGCTCGAGGATGGAGGGTAAGAAGTGGAGAAAGAATGGTGGGGATTTGCGGTCGGGTTTCGGTGGAAAAAGGAACAGGAGCCAGCCACCGGGCGAGGGAAGATAGAAAGGGAGAACTTGTTGTGACTTCCATAAAATCCTGGAACGTGGGCTCCACGGGACACCCGAGAAAAATTCACCGCCGACTTCTCGCGAGATTTCTCTGCGCTCGAAAGCACTTCAACCCTCTTTGTTACACCCCCGCCGTTGCCCGCTACCGCCTTGCCCGTTTATTATGCGAGCTGTCCGCGTAATGAACTGAATACTCTCAGCTAAAACAGTTCTCGTTTTTCCGTTAAACAACCCAGACTTCTCGCTCTCGAGCATTAATTCAAACGTCTATCGAGTAACCTGATAGTCCATCGCACAACAGATCACACGAATAATAAATCAGTGTTTAAAAAAGCATTGTACGCTCCACTGACGGGGTGTAAATACAATTCGATACACGTGAATGGAGTATAGTTCGAATTCGGACTAGAATTGGACCCTTCGAGCTTCATCGGTCAGAACAACTGTCTGTTACGTAACACTGAAATCTATCCATAGTTCATTATGTAACCAGACGTACACGTCCCTGTTCGGAAGCCCACAAATTAAGTTAGTTACCGTGTACGTTTCGTCGACCTCATTCGCATTAGATTACCGAGCATAATTACGGTGATCCAAAATTGATGATACCCTATCATCGAAATTTTCGACAGAATTACCAGTCGCCTTCGGAAGCGATCGAAGTTCGGCGTGATAATCACGATACTAAGGTTATTCAGGAAGCTCGAAGCACCGTTCACGTTATATAATTACGTAATTGCGTATAGAATATTTGTCGCTCTGCTCTCACTGTTCTTTCGACTTGAACTCGTCTAAACGAGCCTAAAACACCGCCGGCGACATTGATAACATTGTTTCAGTATTTAATTAGCGCCACGCTCGTTCCGCTTTGCCTTGAAATTTTCACGCGGCGCTAAATTATATTCCTCGCCTAAAGAGTATTTCTCATTTTTCCCCGCTTCTACACTTCTTCCTCAAATTTGCAGTAAAAGTAAATCAGAGGTCTGCTCGGCGAAGCGTAGCTAAATTTAACCCCTCGGCTGAGACTCGGCCTATCCTTTCCTTGTCCCTTCTAATAAAATAGAAATTACACCGACCCTTTTCGAGGCGAAGAAAATGAAATTCCTCACCGATATTTTCGACGCCCAACGCGTTCGCCTTGCTCTCTTTGCTCTTCTCGTCCCGATTGCACACGTCCCCGGTGTTCTTCCACCACTTGTCGTACAGGATCTGTATCACGCCCTTCTCCTGCAGCTCGAGGATCGCCAGAGATATTTTGTCCCTCCAGGGCGAGCCTGCATATAAAACGGCTTCGTTAGGTCGGTCAAGGAACCGCCTTTGAAACGATCTCGAGATTACACGTCCTTCCTCGAGGCGGCCACGGCGACCGGGCCGTGGTCAAAAGACCGAACTGTGCCAAGTTTCATTTGAACCGGATTTTTTTTTAAATAAGTCCGTCTAATTAGGATCACTGCTTAGCGTACTTCTCTCCACTAATTTCCCTCGGAATTTAAAAACTAGTTATTGTCGACGCCGCGTTTCGACTCGTTAATTAACTCGTTTCTACCCGGAGCCGACAGGGACAACGAACTTGGGCAAACTCGCACGCAAAAACCAACGCCGGATCCCCCGGGTCTTCTTTCCGCACCCGTAGCACGCTAAACGCGATTTTATCCACTGCTGGGCTCGCTACAAATCCGGCAGCTTTACGATGTTTCCCGCGAATGTTGTTGCACGCTCTCCACTAAATCCTCGGTGAAATTCTACCGCTGCGAACCGGCCGCCGCAGTGTCGAGAAATATTAAGAGTAAACAATATTTACGTCCCCTTTACAACGCCCGTTATTGCGTGACCCATTGATAAAAATCTCTGCCAGTGAGACAACATTTTTTTGTTTTTTACTTCACAACGTAAATGAAGATACGAACTGTTAATTGTTTTATAGGTAACGTGATAGGATCGGACTTGTTAAATTCATGTAACACGGTGTTACCGCTGCCTCTGATGGTGCAGGAATTACCTTTCGGCGTTGCAATCCCGTAGCCTTTGCTGTCCAATAAACCACCGATCTGCGTTAAATTGCAATCGCGTTGCACCGCATAATCGAGCATCGTGGATTCCATGAGAAACGCGTAGTCACCCTCGAGCACCTTCTTTATCCCCTCTTCGTAGCTGTTCACGAACACCGACGGCGATTTCGACTCCATGAACTCCCACATCTTTTTGTAGATTCCAATCTTCGAGTCCTGTTCGTAAAAAAATCGACAAAAAACTCTTATCACTAGATAATTGAGACTGGTACAACATTCTTCAAAATTGAATTTTAATAAAACTCGAAAGGACAGCGTCGCTACAATGAGTAAGAATTTAATTTAAAAAATATCCACGACACGAGGTTTTCATACTATCTTCTTTCCTATCTTGAAAATTCGATTTTCTGTTAATATCGTTATCACCGGTTATTGCACAATGAAATAGTTTCGTAATTAGACGCAGCGTTTCCTCCCATGGATGAAATCTATACTTAATGGAGGCACGCAAAATACAGTTTCAATAACGCGTTATTAATATCATAACATGAATAGCTGTGCGGCGTTGAAATGCTGTCCTGAATTTAATAACATTAAGAGGCTCGAGCGTTGAGAGGCTGGTGTAAACTGCAGATTTTCAATGAGTACGGTTCAACTACGATAATTAGTCAAATCTTCCTAACGAGCTCTTAATATTCACAGCCAATTATGTAATATATAAAACACACTGAAACACTGCAAAAGGGGAAACGCTTAATAATATTAATGGATGTTCGAGAAGAAACATGACCAAGCTTGTAAACTAATTGGGTGCCACTTTATTCTCGACGTCTATAACTTACGATAAATATTTGTCTATCAAATAATTTGACAAACATTTCAAGATAACGATAATACAATTATATAAACTCATTTCAATACACAATTTAATTGAACGTTTTGTTTAAGAGATATAAAAATTTGATTAATTTACCCTGAAAAACGTCATCGTGCTTCCACCCTCGAGTGTCCCATACGAGATCTGCGTCTGCTCGGCGAGGTCAGCCGCGTTCTCAATCGGCGTTATCATTCTCTCCACCGTGAGAAATGCAGCCAAGTTGGCCGTGTAGGAAGAGATGATGATCAGCGTGAAAAACCACCAAATTCCGCCGACTATTCTCGTGCTTGTCGCCTGATAACGACAATTAGTATAATCTTCATTTAAAGAGGCTTAATCAGTTGCGAGCAATTCTTCCTTCTGAATCATTTTAAAATAAATTGTAACAGCGAAACGAGGCAAACGTGTTGTTTTTTGCGTTATTTCTAAAACTGGAAATTATATGAGAATTCTCTCTTTTGTCAAACGTAAGATATCAAAGTATATTAAAATCAATTTGAATAGAAGATAATTTAATAAGATAGGGAATCTTGAATGAACACGACAAAGGGTATCCTCGTATTGAATCAGCTTTCTGTCATCTCCGTGGCTCCCCGGAAGCCAATGAAGAGCCTCGGACGATCAATTGAAACCACGTCAGCGGCGCATCGAGGCCGGGAGACGATTTAAGAGCCAGCGCACCGCCAGCTCCTCTCTTTCCTCGAAGAATGCAATATGCAGTCTCATTTGCACCCTGCTAATGGCGTATCTCGAACCATTAGCCGGGGCACCGGAGTCGATCGCTGAGGCGATTATCGAAACTCAAGATATTTCTGAATAATCCTTTCTACCCTTTGTGCCACTGGCATTATTCAAATTATCTTACCATAAAGTATTCATAATAATGATGCCAGAGCTTTAAACATGTCCCAAGTCTTCTTCATGATCTATCAAATTTTATATCACAAAATGTACGTAAATCTTATCACTCAATCTTATCATTTGTTATAAACAACGTAAGAAAGATATATTTATTATTAACAATAATTCGTTTCAAGAATTAATTTTGTTTGTAAAATAATTATTTCCGGAGAAATAGTTTGAAAGAAAATGGAAAAGAACAATTCTGAGTGCATTGGGGCTACCCTTACAGTATTGTAAGGGAAATTAGATTTTGAAATACGCGCCCGAATATCCCTCCCGTGATCACAGACGCGAGGAGTAGGGAGTCTCGCCGAAATCGGCACCTAGGAGAAAAGTGCTCGCTCTCTATCTCCTGGACAGCGCTAAGGAACGGACTGGTATCGAATTGGACGAAAGCACAAAAAGACCAAGAGGGAACTGACCCAAGGACCCAGGAGATACGAGCCGTCGCGGATCTAGAGACTCCCATCCTCTCCGGAGAAAAATTCATCATTTCGATAAGTTAAGAATTTCATTTTATATTGGTTATAACCCATTTCTCGATGTAATAGCGTGAAAACTTGTATTCTTTATTTTATTGTGTTGACGAGACGAGTTCCGATTACTTTTGACTTAAACAATTAAACGCGTATGAATTCATTTCGGTACGGGGCCGACGTAAAGGCCATTTCTTTACACGACTTGTATTTTGATTGTAATTTTAAGGGAAAATAATTGTTGCGAAATCGCAGAACATTTGCGAAAGTAAGAAAATTAAATATAAATCTTACAGTATTATAAGATCCCTCGGCGCTAACGCGCGGAAAAATGGAATACGAATGACTCGTTTCGCTGTATCCGGTGTATTCAGAAGGAATTGCCCGATTCTCCAATATTTTTATTCATATCGCCGGCGGTGTCGGGGCAAATGTCTCGTCCCACCGGCGATACGCGGGGAATCTCTCGAACGATAAGCTCCGCGAGCGAAATCCAGGCAGCAGGTAAGCGCTTCCACGGGTTCCAACCGTGTACTCCCTATTTTTCCTTTTTAACCAACCCGAGGAAGAATCGTGAGCTTCCTCGGGAATTCCTCGACAGCGCGGAATCCCGAAGTTCGCAACGACAACCCCGCATGTACACAACATGCCAGCAGAGCCGGCTAGCACCATATGGCGTACAGGTGTCGTCTGGTTACAAAGCGTTCTTCGCGCCTCTTTCGTTATTCTGATCGTGCAAGGATCAACTCGATGTAGAACGATATCGAGTACAAAACAGTATCATCGGCATTCTGTGATCCTCGGGTTGCGATCGTCTGCCAACGATGAATCTCGTGTAATTAAGCTGTTCTAAAGTATTGCTCGTTGAACTGGAAGTAAACGCGTGCGACGAACAAGATTGCCGCTACAGCTGCGTGCTATATTTCCCCTAGCCGGGTTACACGAAAGGAAATTTTTAACTCGGCTCGTATAAAACGTTTCACTGTCGGAAGTAACTTTGTGTAAACAGCGATTACGGCCAGTTCCGGGTTTACTTTTATCATCGGACCCTACGTATACGGTGGCAACGCGTAAAAATCAGTGCAGTTTCCACGCGTCCGTCGTGCCGGCCCGTCGACCGTAAACCTCGAGCAAAGGACGTGTTGTTCTCGGTTTTATCGATCCGTCTGCGCGACGAATGTTTATCGCTCTGTTTATGCATTCTCCGCGCCTATAAAACTGCATATACGCATTCGGCGAGGGTCGCAAAAAAATCTCGTAGCGAAACTAGTTTCGCGTGGTCGAAACTTTATTCGGGTGTGGAAATTTTGTGAGGCCAGGCGCAGCTGTTTTAATAAAGAAAAAACGAAAAAAAAAAAAACAAAAACAAAAAAAAAAAAACAGAGAACTGTCCAAGCTTATGAGGATCCGATTCGGATTGTATCGGGCGGGAGAGGGGAGGAACGAAATGCGAGGTGCTTGGCTGCTATGTGCATGCAGGGGTGACATGCGACGCCTCGATATTCGAGACTTCCGACTAAGTTCCGCGATACTCCACGGAGATATGATCTCACGTCTATACGAGATCTCGTGTCGATGCTCGGAGAAGTATCTCTACGATGAGCGAGAATTGGTTTTCCGATGCTGCGTGAATATCTAAGTAACGCGGTTTCGTTTGCGGAGTGCTTTCTGTCGCGCTCATATGGTGCTTGAACGTCGTACGGGGAAGCTCGTTGGACTCCCTAGCACCGAAAACAATTTACAGAATCATCCTTGCGACATTCGTTTCTCATTTCTACCGACGATTTTCACCATCTGTCGTTTCATCATCCGTCCTCGATCCGCGAGCGAATATCATATACACGCGTCCGGAGAACTCGCCGTGATTAAAAACGACAAAGCTTCAAAGGAGGGAGCCGGAAACAGCTTACCGCGTAAGCGGAAGACCGGAAGAAAGAAGGGAAGAGTATAGAAAGAAAAATGCGGCGAGCCGCGTTGTTCCCGTAATTGTTTGCCGAATAAAACGATCCGCTGTTCCCGCGGTTCAACCAGGCTTTCACGTACACATTCGCGTTTACGAGTTTTATGACAATGTCCGCGAATTCCAAGGGCTATTTTCTAAACGGCCACTGCTAAACCGGGTAACATCGTAGCGAGATACGAGGTACTTTACGCGACGTTGTACGCCGCTACTATTTGCACTCGTCGCTGTTCCTACGTCATTCGATCAGTCAGGTATATTTTTTTCTTAGGAAATTTTTATTAGGAATTACCGAACGTGCCACTAGCTGTTTCTATATTGTTATCCAATGTGAGACGATTTTATTACTTTTATATCCATTAAAATTCATTAAGGATTGTGTATCGCTTTATAAAATAATAAACGATAAATTTATTTATTATAAATTGTTGACGTTGATAATTATTTATATAATGAACATCGTTATTAGCCATTTTATAGAACAAACGAAATGAAACTGTGAGAATGACAATAATTATATTTACGATTAATTGAATAATTTATTTATTTAATTAATGAAATAAATAATATGCGAATTTGTGTCCAACGAGCTTCGTACGAGTTAGTTTGCCGACTCTGCGATGACACCTTGTGTGTTTTACCTTGGGGTTGAGGTCGCTGCCCTGTTGCATGAGCGTGCCGACCATAAACCAGAAGCTGTTGGCCAGGGTGAACTCGTTGACCGTCCTCGGCAGAGGAATGTCGTCGCTGTCAGGATCTAACGCGCTCACGTGACCGCCCTGATCACACCGGGACCCCCGCCAAGTGGTGCGAAATTTCAAGGACAATTATACAGAGACCTAGCCGTTTATTTCACACAGTCGAGGGTCGTGAATCGTTCAGAAAATCGAGTTAATCGTACTAAATGTTTCCAATATTATACGAAATTATAAGAAGCTTAAAATATGTGATAATGAGAATTCGATTTCTTAATTACCTCGAATACATAGAAAGAATTTTCGTTGCAATTAATTAATATCATCTAAATTTTAGTTAATACAAAGTTGAACTTCACAAAGAATTTTCGTTGCAATTAATTAATATCATGTAAATTTTATTTAATACAAAGTTGAACTTCACAAAGAATTTTCGTTGCAATTAACTAATATCATGTAAATTTTATTTAATACAAAGTTGAACTTCACAAAGAATTTTCTTTGCAATTAACTAATATCATGTAAATTTTAGTTAATACAAAGTTGAACTTCACGACCCTTGATTATTGTCACTGTGTTGGCAATTTCACCGGGGCACCACTCGACGAGAGCCTACCTGCATGGGACAATTGCAGCTCGGACAGGGAGTCGGTTCGACCCATTCGTAAGGTGAGAACCTCGCCACTATCCAAATCGTTATGGACACCAACATGTAAGCGCCCAGCATGGACAACCAGATCTCCACGGCCAGAGGATTCATGAACGAGAACAGCCTCGACGGCGTTCGCCCGGAAACCTGAAGCAATTACACGTATTTCCGTATTACTGACTTGCCCGATCTCCGTTTCAACCCTCTTTCCGTACGGACGAATCTGCACCCCACCTCCCGGCGACCGATTTCCGCGCGAAGTCACTTTTCGCCTAGTTTGCCTGTTATTTCTTTTTTCCAAGCGAGAAACTAATTCTTCCAAGCATGACAGCTACACGGTGCTCCGCTGATGAATAGGATCGCGCAAGACAATCCTTTATCCCGGGTGGAATTACGGATTCCCTTTTCTATTCTCCGGTCCGTCCAACGGGGATACAATAGCCGGGACCGAACGCTCGCCACGGTTCAAACCCGTAGACAACTCCCTTTATCCGTTCGTTTCCTTTCTTTCCCACGATTGTTCCAGTCGAAACTAGAGCGCGGCCCACGTTTTTTCGACCAATTTGGGTTACCGATTCCGGCCGAATCTGGACCGTGATACAACCGCGGCCGAATGCACCGGGACAATCGGCGCACTTAAACGTGACAATTCCTGATTTTCTCGAGCTCGCTTCACCCATCGTCAGGAGATCGTTCGAGAGTAACGGAATTGTGAGATTGTTTAATAATTGTAGCTGCGATCGTGAAGTAATTATAAAATTCACTGACTGGAGACAGGGGCTTGAGCACGCCGCTCGATACGAATCTCTGAGTGTACAAACACTCGAGGACGTTGACAATACTCGGGAAACGATTATTGCCAAGTCTATGGATGTCGATAACAATCAGCGTCGAGAAGTCGCGGGGTCTACCTTCACCCCCAACCCCCGCCCCCCCCCCGTCACCCTTCACTCTCTCGCAGATACAATAAGAGACAGGGACAAAGGAGCTTATTGCGGATATCTCGCGAATCGAAGGATCGTATATAGTCCGGCTCGTTGAGTATACCTTGGGGTTCAGCCCGCTGCCCTGTCTAAGAAACGTGCCGGTGATAAACCAGAAGCTGTTGCTGACGGTAAACTGGTTCTCGACGACGTCGCTCTCGCCCAGACACGGGTGCGGATTGTTCCACTCGTACGGGCTGAACCGAGCCATTACGAACAGGGTGAAGCTGACGAGCATGTACGCGGCCAGCACGTACAGCCAGATCTCCACGGCCAGCGGGTTCATGAACGAGAACAACCGCGTCGGCTGGCTGGAGGGCACCTAAATTACGTTACGCTACGATTTTAATTAAAACGGATCCCGGTGCCGGTTGCCCGCCGTGTACCGGGCGGGACCCTCTTCCTCCCCGATTCGGTTACCTCCAGAATATCGTTCTTACTGTACGGGAAATGTACAGCCTGATAAATCTCTGTATAGCTTCAAATGTTGCGACACGTGTCGCACTAAAATTATTCACGGATTAGTGACGTCGTCAAATGGTTTTGGACGTGATTTTTGTAAACGATATTCCCAGGGATTGATGCTAAGGAACGCGAATTACAGGTGGTCCTTGAGGGTGTTCGCGACTCACCTTAAACAGAATCCCGATACCGAGATTCATAAACGGCTTGGTGAAATCTATCACGCTCTCCCGGGCGTAATTGATTGTCATAGACGCAACGGCGAGATCCGCTCTCTGGGAACAAAAGGAAAAATCCTGGATTAAAAATGGACGTACGTAATTAAATTTGCGCGGACTGGCGCACACCGTTTCCCGTTTTGGACTTGCTAAAACGCGAAATCTTTATGATCGCGGCGGACGTGAAACGAGAAAATCTATTTTCGCCCCGCGTTTTGTCCGCAGTGTGTCAAAGCCTGAAAAGATTCGAGCAGGAGCCATCTATAAAAGATCACTCGGCAAACATTTGCCTTGCAAAACAGTGAATGCATTTTTTATAAGCGAACCGGTGACGCGTTTCCCTCCGGGACGATCCGCTTAGAGGTTTCTGGGTTAAGGTGGAGGAGAACTCTTTCGACACGGGAACAGATTGCCCTGCATCTTTTATGACCCGCTGATCTTCGGATTTTCTATCCTGCGATTGTTTCTACCGTGTCGCTTGGAGCCATTCGCAACCTTGACACGACCCAGCCATGGCGATTATCATCGCGAAAATTTTCTTTTCCTTCTCCTTTCATTATGAATCTTCGCTTAGTTTCAGCACCGAGGAGATTAAAGAGTGGCAGCGCCCATGTAATCGTTGGGACAGCGAAGAGGGCCCAATGGGGCTCACAGTCGGAGACATTTGTAGCTGGTAGCTAGTGACACAACTTTTGTCTGATATATTTTTCGGTAGAATTAAGAAAAAGTTTTTCTAATAAACAATTTTATTTATTAAGTAATTGTTGGTCCTAGCGAAAAATTTTTTATATAGAAATTGTAGGCACTGACGTCCTCTATAAGAAAAATTCG